AAACGTCGCTAAAAAATAACTTTAATCAAAAGTTTAAAAAAATTGTCACAGAAAAACATTACTAATTGTAAATTTTAACAACAATTTATAAAAATCGTAACAAAAAAAGTTACTAATTGTCAATTTTTCACAACATATACAAAAAATCGTCACAAAATTATTTTTAACAATGAAAACTTATTTTCTATAAAACTTAATGAGAATTAAGTCTAACTATTAAAACCTATTAATAGGCGTTATTTGGGAAGTGACAAATGAGGCTATTATAGCCTCAAATGAGATATAAGCCAAAAAGCTCACTTTTCATACTTTTTTATTAAAAAAAAAAAAAAATAGGTTCACTGCCGTTTGTCAAAGTGGCAAGTTGTTACATCACGTGAAAAATTACGGCTTTGCCCCATAACAGGCACAATGACCACTATAATTTTAAAAACAAATTAAGAACCCATTTTTTTTTTTTTTTTTTTTTATTATATATATATATTGAGTTATTTATGTATACATGTATTTATATATAAATATAGATATTAGGCTAGATTTATCAGGATAGATTTATTATAATATAAATATAGATATTAGGCTAGATTTATCAGGATATATATAAATATAGATATTAGGCTAGATTTATTATAATATTAGGCTAGATTGATAGATATATCAGGATAAATATAGTTATATATACCTGGGTAGGAGATCAGAGGACGACGAGGGGGTGGAGACGAACGACGAAGGGGATGAGTGGGCTGATCGGGGAGGAGTGACGAAGACGACAGAGGACGACGAGGGCAATGAGCGACGAACCGCTGGAGGAGCTGAGATCGACGAGCTGCGGAGTTGATCGACGAGCTGAGGAGCTGAGATCGACGAGTGACGAAGCTGAGACGGAGACGAAGACGAAGCAGAATGACGACGGTGGCTGAAGATCGACCCAGCAGATGATCCAACTAGGTATGTTTTGAATCCTAACCCTAGAGGTGAAGCTCTGATACCATGAAGCTTGGGTAACCAGCTTAGGGTATGATAGAATATCACCCCCTATTTATAAATGAAGATTAGGGTTTACAAGAAACACAATTACAAGATGATCCCTGAGGGCACAAAATGATTACAGACCCTAGTGTAACTTTCGGCTAATATAATATGCTAACACTTTCGGCTAATATAATATGCTAACAGAAGATTTTGATTTTGATTCCTTGTTATTTGGGGTATTGAATTGTTGCGCCTGAAGACCTGGCTCTGACCAAGTCTTGAGACCTACTATCAAAGTTGATCAATCAGGGCTGCGGAAGTTTATAAATGTAACAGACTTTAAAGTGCTCACTCCAATGGTAACATGCCATATGATCATACAAAGCATATCTAGAAGTAAACTTACTAAACTGGAAGTCCGAATACGCATTGCTTACAACAGAATCTGTTAAATACGCAGTTATACCTCAAGAAGTTATAGAACACCACACAATTGATCCATGTTGTACAACCGCAATATAAAGGCTACAAGGAAAAGATCTTCTAGGTAGGGTCACTATGTCTCTTGTAATATGCTACCGAACAAAAAGTAAATGACATGTTGTCAGTTATTGTATGAAATGTGTTAAAAAGTCATTTTCCATGGTAATCGTTGCAAGTTTCTGCAGTTTTAAACAAGCAGTATTTCAAAAGGGGAGATATTTTCTTGCGTCATACATAGGGATCCAAAAGAGAATTAGTTTTTGTAATTGATAGAAAAGGCCTTTTTCACTTGCTGGTCAAATTTTAAATTGAAAACATGCTTAAGGTATTGCTTGTTAACTTGGTCTAAAATGAGGGCTCTTGTCAGATTCTATTTAGTTGGTCTTCCTTAATGATAAGCATAGTCTAATATTCTCTAGATTAAAGTGAACCTCTCTTTTAAGGATTCAAGTGCCTTTAATTTTTTTGAATCATACTCCACTATCTTTTTTTCTTAATCTTAACTTGGTTTAGTGTTTTAAGACTATTACCTTGGAAATGAGTCTTCTAATATATTTCCTTTTCTATAGGAGACTAGCATGTGCTTTTCTTGTTTTGTCCTAATTATGAAAACAAGAGAAAAAGAAAAAAAGCACATTAGAAATATAACTATACATACATAACCATATTTTTTTTTATCAGCATATATAACCATTATTTATTATACAATAGTGATTATTTTTTTTAATCTTTATTCACTGTCTAATTGATGTGTTCTTCACAAACCAAATTATATATGCAATGATATATTGCTTTTATTTCTATTCAACTGATGGAATTACTTTTTCAGTGGTATATAGTTTCTCGTGATAGAGTTACCTCAAAGTTTTGGAGCAGTTTGGCGGAAGTTTTCAGATATTTATTCTGTGCCTAGGGCTTAGGTTTCAAATTTCTCTATTGCCATTTAAATGGCTGGCAGACACTGTATCATATTCATCACCAATTGAACTTTGCTGTGATTTCACCATTTTATCTAGTTACTGTTACAAGAGTGTTTCTTTCAGTGAATTGGTGTTCTTAACAACCCCAAAAGTAGTTATTATCCTATCTAAAACTGTTTATCAAAATATATAGCCACATAGATTCTTTTAAGAATTCTATTAGACTTAAACTTTATTACTCCCTCCGTCCCAAAATATTAGTCCCTTATTCCATTTTTCATTATCCCAAAATATTAGTCCCTCTTCTAAAATCAAGTACAAAAATAATGTAAATTTTCTATTTTGCCCTTCTTTTAAATTAAGAAACAATATAAAAAGTACAATTATGACATTGATATTCTCAAAAAATATACTATCAAAAGGGTAATTTCGGAAAATCAACTTTTTTCAAATGCAATAATTGTACTACCAAAAAAAGTTAGATTCCCCAAAAGGGACCATTATTTTGGGACGGAGGGAGTACTTATTTTGAAGAAGAGACATTTATCACTTATTGTTGTTAGGGAATCGGGGAGCCCACAAGCGCACAACAATATCGGCCCAATGCATTATGGAGAAACTTTAAAGTCCACAAATATCATATCAAGACCCAACATACATTTTTTAGAACTCGTACCCACTTAAAAGCTCAAGTCTATAAGTGGAGAGCCCATCTAATATATATTAAGACTTATCTCTTTTACTCTTTATCTGATGTGAGACTTTACCTTCACACATGCTCCAACATTTATCCCAAGCCACACAATAGCACATTATCACACTAAATGTTATTTTAACATCTAAGACATGAGCTAATGTTTTTTCACATTTTCATCCTTGTAAAATTTAGATACCAAATAATAGAAAGGTGGTTTTGATTAAAAGAAAAAAATGAAATCTTTGATGCAGAAAATAAATGAATATTAGTTGCATGGCAGTATGACTGCAGAATGTGAAACTGAAGTCTAAAGGGAAATGCTCTGTTTAAATCATTTTGTTGGATTCAACCTTAATTATATTGTTGAATTCAAGCACCTAACTGGATTGCTTAATTGGAAGCTACATATAATGCATCATTTTATTCTTCTTTCTCAGCTCTTGATTTAAACTGATTTTCTGATTCTTAAGAAAGCATACAAAATGGCATGGAAGTTTTTATCTTTTATTTTTTCTGGTAGTTATGTAAGATGATTAACTTGTATACTTCTGGATTTTTGACTTGTGAATTTACTTGTGGTATTTTTATGAATCTGAAGTTCTGTCTATTGGATACATTCTCTCTACATTAAAGTATTGGTTTTACATTGCTTACAGGAGTCACATCCAGAATCTAATTTTAGAGTTCCTGCAATTGTAAATGCTCTTGAAAAGATGGAGCTTACTCCAAAGGTATAAAACACAAGCTTAAATCTATGTGCTTTTTGTAATGGTGAAGTGTAAGAATTCTAGAATCTCGGATAGTGACCATTTAAATTGATTTTTTCAAAGCAACTATGAGAATATGAAAAAGTTCAACCCTTTCATCACTCCTTTGACTCCATTGAATTTATTTTGAATGAAATAAATTCAATTGGAACATCCTTGTTCTAGTGAAGTGCTGAAAATTCAATCGCGTTCTCATTATTTTTTTTAAATGTTTTTTTGACTTCCTTGGCTTTAGAATCATGATCATTATGCTCAATCATGTTTTCTTCAGTTACAACAATTTTGGTTTTCATTTCTTCAATATCTTCAATGTTGATCTTGCTCTTTTGTAATTTCTTTAAGTTCCACAACTATTTCAAGCTTTTGCTCCTTGACATTAGTCTCCGCTAAAATAGCAACAGTCAAGCCATAGATGGAAGCTATCAATTCTTTAAAAGTTGTATTGATAGTATGCACTTCACTCTAAGAAGCTCATACACTTCAAAGAAGGTGGCATGTCATGTTGGATTCCTTTGTCAAGCATCAACACCACACAACACAACAGTCGTTAGACACTTCCCAACACTTAATCAAATACACGTTCAAACATGTCCTACTATTTTTAAAAATTTCTAAACTTATGCTTCAAACAATTAGGGAACACGTGTCCATCATTTATACTCACATGAAACACATTATAAGTTTAAATAGAATAACAATTGTTAGAATTTACCATCACCTACCACCACTACCACCTCACCTACTCCACTAAACCTAACCCACTACACCACTATCACCATCCACTACACACCATCCACTACACCTACATCTATATAAGGAACCATTTGTAATAGACACATTTAAAAATATATATCAATCAATAATACATACATCAATTTTAACTCAGCATCATAGATCACATTTGCCTCAAATTTAATGAATATTCACAATCATGAGTGTATAGCTCCTTTACATCTTTCATCACAAACAAGAGGGAAATGTGTTTTTTAATTGATAATAAGCAGTCAGCAACATCATAACGGAAGCTATGAATTATTAAGCAACATCTAGCTATTTATAAAACTTCAGTGGAAATTCTCAAAAACTAAAAATAAAAAACAAAATAGAAATAAAAATAAAAAATAGTTGATGTGCTGAAAAAGGATGCGAAACACATACCGACTGGAGATAGCCAAAGGGCAAATTTCTGCACCAGCTACCAAGTAACAGACCTCAATGCCCCCCACTCTTGGCCTCATAGGATGGACTTAGCCGGGGCAGTGGTTGGTCATCAAGTTAACCAGCCAAAGGCATTCCATCCCAAGGGCATCAGTCAGTTGACAAATCTATCCAAAAAGATTGTCAGACCTGCACTTCACGACAAATAGCCTCTACAACCTTGTGTTTTGCTATTACAACCCACAATTTAAGAAATTATCGATAGGTTGGGCTATTGCAGTTGCATAGCCACTTCAATAATAATTGAGTCTTGATAATTCAACTTCATGCTGAGTTTGTCGCCAAGTATATTTCACAAGCCCATCAAAGTCACTCTATATGATGTGTGTTCAGAAGGATAGGATACTTCCACACACCCTCTGATTGATGGTCAATTAAGTTTGTATCCAACCTTATTCTTGTATTTCTTTACAAACCGGAGCAGTTGAAAGATGTTGCCATAAAGCTTTTATCAACATCAACCCAAAAACATCAACTCCACCTGTCCTTACCTGCAAAAAATAGATATATATATATATAAATATATTTCCAAGTGGTAGCTACATCAATATTTCAAGCAGCATCAAGTGAGCATTTGCATTGAAAACATGCCAATCTCCTAGAGAAGAATGAAAAAGAAGACTGATATTTGCAATCATAAATAAACATACACCTTGAATTAAGTCTTTACACTTTGTGTGTTTTGTAATTGGTTTTGAATTGGGGTCGTCAGAATACATAATACTTATCAGAATTTAGAAGATTTTTTACATAATTTCCTAGTGTTAATATATTGTCACAGCATTTCACATAGTTATCAGAAGATTCCTAGTATTGTCATGCATTTTCTTTTCCTTCTTTTTTTTTTTTTTGTGTTTCTTTTTCCATACAAACTCAATCACTTGGTAACCTTGCAAAATTTACAATTTCAGCACTTAAAAAGTAGTAAACATAAATTGAATTTGTTTGCTAATTATCACTTGGAATGTTAAGTTTTTTATTTTATTTTTTATTTTTTTAAATATAGGCTAAAAATTTAAGTTATAGAACTCTTAATTATGAATGGTGAATGTTGAATTTTTAATCTATTATGATTATGCCACTGAGGTGCACCAACGTTACCCTACTAATGCCATCACCATTATTGTTACCACCACCACCACCACCACAACAAACCATCATCGTTGTTGCCAGCGTACCATCACTACCGCTACCATTGTCACTCTACTACCACCACCATCGCCGTCGCTACCCCCTCTACCTCAACCACCATTGTCACCATCACTCTACTACTACCATTATCGCCACAATGCCATAACTATCTTGCCTCACACCACCACCACTATGCTACCACCACAGCATTGTTATCAAATTTTGCCGCCAATACAGTAATAACGACCAAGCCATTGCTAAATTTATTATTAATGGCTTTACCGGTATTCTCAAAGGTTGGTGGGATAATATCATAACTCCCATTCAACAAACTGAAGTTCTAACCGCTATTAAGCTTGAGCTTGATCCGACTACCAACCAACAGGTTCAACAGTCTGATGCTGTTTACACACTTATTAAAAGTTGCGCCCTCAAAAGGCGCGCCCACTTCATCAAAAGTCGTGCCCGACAGAAAGCGTCGCGCCATCAAAAGGTGAGCCGGAGACGCGGCGAGGCACGTGAGCGACAGAGCGGCGTGTCGGCCGCGTCGTCAGTGTCAATATAAACAAATGCGGAGGCGGAGGAAACCAAACCAGACTGAAACCTCTGAACTTGTCATTCTGAAACAATCTGTAAATACTCTGTATCCAACCCTTCTCGGAAACACTCAGCAACCCAAAAAACATGGCCTCTTCTTCCCGTTCAGCTACCCAGAACATGGCCTCATCTTCCCGTGGTCTGCTCACTCTCTTTCCCGACCTCAACGAGTCAACAGGAGAGATAACAGGTGCGGTGGCCCGTGAACCTCAACCAAACACCTCTGGTTTTGCTTCGTTGAACTTTCCGATGCGGTAGGTGGAGCAAAAAATGGCAGTGCAAACGGATATTGAGGCCAATCAGTATACATTGAAGTCATGTGTGGAAACCATGACTGCGGTCACAAACTTGTCGCACCGGCTGCAGATTAGGACAAATGAGGTGCAGCAGTTAAACGCCCAACTGGCTCTGCTTCAGCGCATGTATAAGGATGCGCGAGCAGAGATTAGTGTGTTAAAGGCGGAAAATAAGGAGCTGAAGCGGAAGGCCACCGTGATGTTCCGATTTGGAGGTCCGCCATATGCGGCAGTGGAGGAGCAGGGAGGAGGTAACTTGCTTGGTGGTCTAGGAAGCACTGAGGCAACACCGTCAAGGACTGCCCAGGACGGAGGCAAAAAGAAGAGATCGGCGATAGAATAGAGAAGAAATGTCGGTGGGTGGCCGTCTGCAGAAAAGAAAACAAAGCCGTTGTTGTGTTTGTTGTGTTTTTGTTTTGTTTTTTTTTTGTGTGTATGTAAAATTGTGATCGGGGTTGATCCCTGAGATGAATAAAATATGGTTTGGTGTGCAAAGCTATATGGTAGGAATGGAATTGGAAAAAGATTAAAAATAATGTGAAAGAAAAATAAAGAAAAAAATAATAAAAATATAATGGAAATCAAAAATGAAAGATGGGGAAAATAAGGAAAGTGGTTTGGAGAAAATAAATAAAAATAATTGAGTTTGAAAGCAAACGGAGGAGAGATGATGATTTTTTTTTTTTTTTTTTTTTTTTTTTTTTTTTTTTTATAATATAATAAAAAGAGATATATATATATATATATATATATAAAATAACGAAAGTGGGGAACAAGGAGTGCACCAATAAGCTTTATAATAAATAAAAAAAAAGTGTGGGCGGTGGATGCAAAGTGAGGAGAGAGAGTGGGTGTAAAGTGATGTAAAGAAAAATAAAGAAATAAAAGAAGAAAAGTAAAAAAAGGGTGGTGATGGATTAGACTCAAACACTTCTGCCTCTAAGGCTAAGAAGGAAGAGAATATATATCTGGGACCCCACGGAGCTCCACCATCACAATCAAAGCAACATGAGCTCAACTCTTCTGGCCGTAAGCAGCGGTTCAAGAATCTGTTTGGAGGGATTTTCACCTGATGATGCATCGGGGAGGAAGGGACGACGAGCTGGTCGGGACGACGAGATCGACATCGGGGAGGAAGGCTGTGAGGCCGTTGGACTGGCCATGGCCTTCGAGATCTAGGGCGAAGCAAGCGAACCCATGTTGGGCGAGGAAGATCGGGGTGGACTGGAATGTCCAGCTGATGCTGTTGCCGTAGCCGTGGACCATCAGGATGACGCCACGTGGAGGGGAGCTGGAAAGGGGAAACCATGATCGAGTGAAGAGGGTGTGAAGATCGGTGATGGCAGGGGAAACAGAGCCGGAGATGTAATTAGATATGTCGAGCGAAACAATTGATCTGTTGTTGGTATCACATTTGATGCCAGTCCAAGAACAGAGAGACATGTAATTTGAGACATTCCAGGTATTCAGACAAGAGATTGGAGGTTCAAATGATTGTGTGAGAGAAACAAGGATTGAAGCTTGCCTTTTAAGATACAGATTGTGCAGAGGAATTGAATGAGAAGGTGTGAGGAGGATGAAGAGGAGCCTCATAATAGGTTCGGAAGCAGCCATTAATGGAAGATTTGTTGAACTCAGAAGGTGGTGATTTTAAAGAATTCAACTGAGCTGCCAGAGACACAGAGGAAGAGAGAGGGTTGAATTGGTTGAGATCCGGCGGGC